TCCTAGTGACAACATATTACTCAAATCCACAAAATAATAAAATTATGCAAAAGTTAAACCTACTAGAACCATTCCTGGCATAATTGTAAGCTTTCGAGATCATTGAATTGTCTGTTAATAAAGTTCAATGACAACTGATAACACCACAACTTGTAATCTTGCTATATATTTTTTTTAAAAAAAATCTCAACATGTAATTTTCAATTACTGTTAGGTGCTTTCGAGACCATTTTGACTTAGGCTGACTCTATGAACAAATGATTTTCAAAGGATTTTGTTGTTTACCACGGTTTTCCGGTGTTGCAAAGCCAAAGACATTAGTTTCTTAATCGAGGTCTTCCTCTTTTCTTACTTCCTCCAAATTTCCCCAATATTATTGCCTTTTTTCCAGTGACTCACGTTTCCTCATGATGTGTTCAAACTATAATAACCTTAATTCAGGCTTGAGCCACTCTAAAACCCATTTATTTGTCTACTTTTCAAAAGAACACTGTGTTATTAGCTTTTATTATGATTATCCAAGGAATTTGTAATATCTTTTGTTGGTGATAATTTACTTTGTTGATCTATCAGGAATCCACTCCAAGTCCCTTTAAGGAGATAAGGCAGAATACAAATAAAGTATTATTATTATTATTATTATTATTATTATTATTTTAAAAGATACCTACAAATACAAAAATATACCCCACTGAAGCTTTCTGTCACATCAAGTTAAATTCCAACAGTAATTACTTCTTTAAAGGAAATTAACAATAGTTGGGGGGGGGGGGGGCGGGTGGCACAACATGTTAAATTGCTGAGCTGCTGAACTTATTGACCAAAAGGTTGGTTCAAATCCAGGGAGCGAGGGTGAGCTCCGCTGTTAGGTCCAGCATTTGCCAACCTAGCATTTCGAAAACATTCAAATGTGAGTAGATCAATAGGTACCATTTCTGCAGGAAGGTCATAGCGCTCCATAAAATCATGCTGGCCACATGATCTTGGAGGTGTCTATGGACAACCCCGGCTCTTCTTCCTAGGAATGGAGATGAGCACACTCTCCAGAGTTGGACAGGACTAGATTTAATGTCAAGGAAAACATTTACCATTACCTATCAGTAGTAAGGGGCTGTGGTGGTGCAGTGGGTTAAAACACTAAGCTGCAGAAATTGCTAACCAGAAGGTCAGCAGTTCAAATCCACAGCATGGGGTGAGCTCCCACTGTTAGCCCCAGCTTCTGCCAACCTAGCAGTTTGAGAACATGCAAATATATATTCCGGCATATAAGACGACTGGGCATATAAGACGACCCCCAACTTTTCCAGTTAAAATATAGAGTTAAGATGACTCCCATGCATAAGACTACACCCGCATATAAGACGACCCCTGACTTTTGAGAAGATTTTCTTGGGTTAAAAAGTAGTCTTATACGCCAATACTGTATTTGAATGTTTCCACTATTGGTGGGAAGGTAATGGCACTCTATGCAGTCATGCTGGCCACATGACCTAGGAGGTGTCTTCGGACAACACCGGCTCTTTGGCTTAGAAATAGAGATGAAAACCACCCCCCAGGGTCTGACACGACTAGACAATATCAAAGGGAAACCTTTACATTATCAATAGTAAGATTTGAAGAATCATTAATAATAATAATAATAATAATAATAACAACAACAACAACAACAACAATAATCTTTTTTATAACCTGCCCTATCTCCCTGAAGGGACTCAGGGCGGTTTCCAAACAGAAAAGTGGCAAATATTCATTGTCATAATGAAAATAAACAAATCAAATAAAAACCTACAAATAAACAACATTAATATAAAATTATAATAACTAATTAGTAACAAAATAATTAGTTAAAAGGCATAATAGACTCTTATCAAAGACATTTACTTCATATTACAATCTGACCACTAAAGTGCATAAAGTATAAAGTAGTTTAAAACTACAAACAGACGGAATATGTATATTATTAGGACTGAATACCTATATTAATAGGATTAACTACAATAGTATGATTAAATACCAATAATAGGGAAAGTAATCACATACTTTCTCTCAAATTTTCAATATTATGTATCAAATATTTAAGTATCTTATTTTGGTAACTACTGTGTAACCATTACCTGGACAGTTTTAAGTGATTTCTTTCTCGTTTTTCTTCTTGTTTTAATATAGTATGTTAATATAGGTTCTTGTGAGTTTTTTTGGGGCTAGTAGTCTGCAGTGCCTTTCATGTTCCTTGATTCGTGTCTGGGCAATGCTGCTGCGTTTGGTGGTCCCTATGTAGACTTGTCCACAGCTTCATGGTACACGGTAGACTCCTGCAGAGGTGAGAGGATCCCTCTTGTCCTTTGCTGAACGTAGCATTTGTTGGATTTTCTTGGTGGGTCTGTAGATAGTTTGTATGTTGTGTTTCCTCATCAGTTTCCCTATGCGGTCAGTGGTTCCCTTGATGTATGGCAGGAACACTTTTCCTCTGGGTGGATCTTCATCTTTACTCTCGTGGCTTGTTCTTGGTCTTGCAGCTCGAATCAAGGAACATGAAAGGCACTGCAGACTACTTCAACCAGAGAAATTTAGCCATAGCAGGGCACCTGATTAACCAACCTGTACACAGCATATTATTTGAGAACACAGAAATGCTGGACCACTCTAACAACCACCATGTCAGGCTACACAGAGAAGCCATTGAAATCCACAAGCATGTGGACAATTTCAACAGAAAGGAGGAGACCATGAAAATGAACAAAATCTGGCTACCAGTATTAAAAAACTCTAAAATTACAACAGCAAAACAGCAGAGAGGAAACAACCAAGCACATCTTAACACCTCTCAACAAAAGATATTCCCAGGCTCAGCCAGGCCTTCAAATGCTAATGAAGGTGGTCAGTTGAAACATTCACACCTAGCTCCAGCAGAGAAGAGCTCTTTGCCCCACCCCAGCCATTCAACAGATATATAAACCCATTGTCCTAATTCCAACAGACCTCACTACCTCTGAGGATGCTTGCCATAGATGCAGGCGAAACGTCAGGAGAAAATGCCTCTAGAACATGGCCTATAGCCCGAAAAAAACCACAAGAACCTATTGATTCCAGCCATAAAAGCCTTCGACAATACATATGTTAATATAGTTAGAGTGCTAGTGCAAGTTGTTGCAATTATATTGTTTGGTTTTGGAGCCTTCCCTTATATGCTGTTTTGTAGTATGTGCAATTTATGTGTGTTAATAAACAGATATTTTAGTTTTGTTATATACTTTGCATTGATTGTGCAGGCCCAGACTCTGCTTCTCTCATTCATCTGCCTTCTGTCAGATGCTTTCTCCCCATAGCCCCGCCTTCAAAGCATTCCCTGGGCCCTGATTGGCTGGCACAAGCCCCGCCCTCGCGTTCTATAGAAAGCAGCTGCAGCGTTTGGATGGCATCAGCCTGCAGACCACTTGCTTCTCAAGAAGAGTTAAAGTGATAGGATTTCCACTCCTAGAGAGAAGCGGAAACGTCACTTCCTCTGGATGCTGCTCCATCCCCCTAAGTCTGAGGAAGCAATTCAGAACTCAGAGGCTGCAAAGGGGCTTTTTGGGTGAGTCCAAAGCAAGGTTTGGCTCCAGGAAGGGGGGCTTGGGGTGGAAAAGGAATGGCATGCCATGGGGGGCTTCCAAAGCCTGGAGTAGCAATTTAATATCCATATGGCCTCTCTTTGAGGGTTAGCAAAGATCACAGTGGATACAGGGGGATGTAGTGTATATATGCTTTGGTTAGACCACACCTGGAATATTGTGTCCAATTCTGGGCACCACAATTCAAGAGAGATATTGACAAGCTGGAATGTGTCCACAGGAGGGCGACTAAAATGATCAAGGGTCTGGAGAACAAGCCCTATGAGGAGCGGCTTAACGGGCTGGGCATGTTTAGCCTGAAGAAGAGAAGGCTGAGAGGAGATATGATAGCCATGTATAAATATGTGAGAGGAAGCTACAGGGAGGAGGGAGCAAGCTTGTTTTCTGCTTCCCTTGGAGACTAGGACGCGGAACAATGGCTTCAAACTACAAGAGAGGAGATTCCATCTGAACATGAGGAAGAACTTCCTGACTGTGAGAGCCGTTCAGCAGTGGAACTCTCTGCCCCAGAGTGTGGTGGAGGCTCCTTCTTTGGAAGCTTTTAAACAGAGGCTGGATGGCCATCTGTCAGGGGTGATTTGAATGCAATATTCCTGCTTCTTGGCAGGGTGTTGGACTGGATGGCCCATGAGGTCTCTTCCAACTCTTTGATTCTATGATTCTACAAGAGTCCTAGAGTTGGAAGAGACCTCAGAGGCCATCCAGTCCAACCCCATTCTGCCAAGCAGGAAGACACAATCCAAGCACTCCTGACAGATGACCATCCAGCCTCTGCTTAGGAACCTCCGGTGAAGGGGACTTCATCACACACAGAGGACCCTTCTACGCTGCCATATAAAATCCAGATTATCTGCTTTGAACTGGATTATATGCCATCATAGACTCAGGGCCCATCTACACAGCCATGTAACCCAGAGCCCTTCCACACAGCCCTATATCCCAGAATATCAAGGCGGAAAATCCCACAACATCTGCTTTGAACTGGGTTATCTGAGTCCACACTCAGATAATGTGAGATTTCCTGCCTTGCTATTCTGGGATATGGGGCTGTGTGGAAAGGCCCTCAGAATATAAAGGCAGAAAATCCACATTTTCTGCTTTGAACAGGATCTGAGATCTCATGCTCTTTTTGTGCTTATGCTGGAGCTCTGTTTTATTTTCTGCTTTTCTATTAATGAGCTGAGAGGAAGCCACAGGGAGGAGGGAGCAAGCTTGTTTTCTGCTTCCATGGAGATTAGGACAAGGAACAATGGCTTCAAACTACAAGAAAGGAGATTCCATCTGAACATGAGGAAGAACTTCCTGACTGAGAGCCGTTCAGCAGTGGAACTCTTTGCCCCGGAGTGTGGTGGAGGCTCCTTCTTTGGAAGCTTTTAAACAGAGGCTGGATGGCCATCTGTCAGGGGTGATTTGAATGCAATATTCCTGCTTCTTGGCAGGGGGTTGGACTGGATGGCCCATGAGGTCTCTTCCAACTCTTTGATTCTATGATTCTATGAGTGCAGAATGCCTGGTTTTCTGTCTTCTCTTTCCTGTAAGGACCCCTAGTCTCCAGAGCAGCCAAAAAAGAAGCTTGCCTCCTCCTCAATGTGACATCCTGTTAAATGGTTAAACATGTCTCTCATGTCCCCTCTCTGCCTTCTCTTCTCCAAGCTAAATATGTGCAGCTCCCTAAACTGTTCCTCAGAACGCTTGGTTTCCAAACCTTTGCAGAATAGGGCAAGATCGTGACTTCACTCAGTCTCGACACTCTACTATTAATGCAGCCTTGAATTGCATTCGCTTTTTAAAGCTGCTGCATTGCACTCTGGACTCATGTTCAGCTTGTTGTGATCTACTAAGTCTCCTGGATACCTTTTCACACGGACTGTTTTCAGACCAGGTGCCACTCATCCTATATTCTTGTGTTTCATTTTATCAACCATGCAAAGTCCAGAAGCATATGATCCCAGCGCCCGATCTAATTGTGTCTGAATTTGTATCTTTTTTTAAAAGATGAACAGACTTGGCAAAAAAAAAACATGTTTACGGGGGGGGGGGGGGGGGAGGGGGGGGGGGGGGGGGGGGGGGTAAACTAAAATCAGTTTGGGTTGTTGTAGTTTTTTCGGGCTATATGGCCATGGTCTAGAGGCATTCTCTCCTGACGTTTTGCCTGCATCTATGGCAAGCATCCTCAGAGGTAGTGAGACCTCACTACCTCTGAGGATGCTTGCCATAGATGCAACCCAGTGATTCCGGCCATGAAAGCCTTCGACAATTCTGTTGTTCTTCTTTAACCTTTTTGTAGATAGAAGAAAGATCTCACTGTTCACAGTCATCCTGGTGTGATTCAAAGACAGAGAGACATTATGGAGGGCGCTCAGGTAAGAGAGAATTAATTGGAGAAAATTACAGTAAAATTAACATGAATTCTGACTTCTGAATGAATTGCTGCATTTTGCTTTTTCTGAAGCCATCAAAGCTATTCATTAGGAAAGGGTGGATGCGTTCTGGATCGGGCTGTAGCACAGCTGGTTAATTACCACCTAATCACCAGCTTCAATAGATCACTGCCGACCAGAAGGTGACAGGTTTGAAGCCCAAGTCGGATTGAGCACCTGACTGTTAAGCCTAGCTTACTGTCCACCTAAGCAGTTCGAAAACAGCTGAGCTGTGAGCTGTGAGTAGAGAAATTAGGAAGCACTTAAAGCAGGGAGGTATTTTAAAATGCCAATGATCAAAGAGCAAGGAGGAAAGACAATCTTTTTTTTTTAATGTCAGGAGCGACTTGAGAAACTACAAGTTGCTTCTGGCGTGAGAGAATTGGCTGTCTGCAAGGATGTTGCCCGGAGACACCCGGATGTTTTGATGTTTTACCATCCTTGTGGGAGGCTTCTCTCATGTCCCCGCATGGGGAGCAGGAGCTGACAGAGGGAGCTCATCTGCACTCTCCCTGGATTTGAAGCTATGACCTGTCAGTCTTCAGATCTGCTGGCACCAATGTTTTTGTATATTAAACCATCAGAAAGCAGGAATGTCACTGATTTGGTTCATTTCAGATTTTGGAATTTGAGAGAATGGGTGCTTAACTTGTAATAAGAACTGACAGGAATATTTGAAAGCTGAGGTCAGAGATAAAGGATTTTAAAATGATTCCCATGACATTGTGTTTTTACAGATCTGTTTGTAATTTTCTAAAACCGTGTAGGATAATCTGTATATATTATAATACGAATGTGGGTCCTTTTTTTCCTTTGAGGTCCCTGTGTCCTTTGAGGAGGTGGCTGTGTATTTCAGGGAAGAGGAATGGTCTCTGCTGACTCTGCGCCAGAAAGCACTGTACAGGGAAGTTATGCTGGTGAATTATGAAACAGTGGCATCTCTGGGTAAGGATCTCTTTCCTCCTCACACACAAACACACACACACACACACACACAGAATATTCTTATGACTGTCATAGAATAGGAAGATGGCCATGACCATGAATCACATTGGGGAGGCACTGTGCAGTTGGACACAAAATGTGCAGTCATGAGATCAAAACATTCATGTGGATAACGGAAAACATGAGGATCAATGATACACAGTACACACTGGAATACAACTAAAGTACAGTAAGATCTCCATAACCACAAAATACATATACAGTCAGCCCCAGAGTTACAGGCATCTGACTTACATACAACCCCTAGTTAAGGATGGGGCTGAGCCAACAGGAAGTGAGAGGAAACCTCCCTCTATGAAGTGACATTCACTCCCTGAAGAATTATCTTTGGGAAAAGTCATCTCAACTGGTATCCAAAATGTGTGCGTATGTGTGTGTACAGTGCATTTTTTTGATTTACATACAAATTCAGCTTAAGAGCAGATCTACAGAACCTGGGGCCTGCTTGGAGGACCTAAGAAATTCGTAGAAAGGATACTATATTTCCCAAAAAATAAAACCAACTCTTCTATTAATTTTTGCTTCAAAAGAGGCATTAGGGCTTATTTTCAGGGATGTCTTATTTTTGCATGTACAACAATCTACCTTTATTCAAATGTAGTCATGTCATCTTCTGTAACATCGTCATAACTCTCCAAAACCCCAAACTCCAGCCTGAATTACATGTAGAATCCTTGCCCCCCATCTCTCATGTTCAGAAATAGAGCTCTCCTTCTTATCCGTCTCATCATGCATTGGCAGTACAGCTGTCAGTGATTTTCTCACCCAAGTCACAACCTCTTGCAGGTTCCACACTGATTTCTTTGTATTCTATTTTCAACGTGGTCATTGATTTCTGTGCACAAATGGTCCTTGAATGGTTTGTTCATTGCCAAACCAAGAGTCCGGACAGGCCTGTAGCCAGGATTTTGATTCGGGGAGGGGGGGCTGAGGATCTACCCTAGCAAATCTTTTGTATCATTATCCCAATACCCCCATGCATATGGGATATATTGAGCATGGTGATCAGATCATGGTATGAATAAACATAACAGTTTAAATAATGTACCAGTAAGGCCTTCTCACGGACCACCATGAGAATTTCGGGGGGGGGGGGGCTGAAGCCCCCCCCCCCCCCCCCGGCTACATACCTGCTCCCAGGGCTGCATAGTATGGAGCTATGGTATTTAATAGGCTTGGGCAATCCATGGTTCTAAATGGTTCTAAAGTACTTACAAAACTAAAGTTCTGGTGGTGAAAATTTCAGAACTCTAACAAAACTTTCAAAATTTAATTATTATTTCATTATTGGTGATTTTAATGACAGAACCAATTAGGAACTGCCATTTATTATGAAATTTTGAGAGTTTTGTTAGAGTTCTGAAATTTTCACCACCAGAACTTTAGTTTTGTAAGTACTTTAGAACCATTTAGAACCATGGATTCCCCAAGCCTAGTATTTAAAGTGGGGTCCAAGAGTATATATTCCATAGTGTAAATGCACCAAGAGAGGGGTATGCCTGAGTCCGGAGATGGGCAGTCATTCCTTCAGAAATCATTCTTTGACCTGTTCTTCATTATATTATCATTTATTTCAAGTATTAATGTCAATAATATTTATTTATTTTGGATTATATTTTAATATTATTTTATGATTCAATATGTCTGTCATGTGTTGCAATGGATGTACAACTGGTAAATGTATCTGTCTGGCTGATGATCTTAACTGGGGCTTACTGTATGTTTGGGTACATGCAAAAATAAAAAAAATCATGCCAGGGCTTATTATCCAGTTAGGTCTTATTTGGGGGGAAACAGGGTACCTCTCTAGATATCTTTAGGTTCTCTAATACAACTCTAAGGTAGTCTAGGAGCAAAGGTCAAGCAGTGTTAAGGCATTCAGTCATATCCAGTTTCAGGTAACTGTTGAGAAACGGTCTCCTACAAATATAGGAATCTCATCATATTTCACAACTGAAGCATGCAAAAATCTGAAACCACAAGTACATGAGGATTCTGCTCTGGGAAGCTGAGATAGCTAACTTATATTTTCTGAATACCAAAATAATTGTTTTGTTCTTGTTTCCTCCAAAGAACATTCTGTGTTGCCTCAGCCTGGCCTCATTTCCTGGTTGAAAGAAGGAAACAAGCAGTTTTTCCAGAAGAAATATGCTGGTAAGTGCTTTGATTGGTGCAGTTCCCTGAGTTGACAGGCTAGCGGGACCTCACCCCTCTCCCCAGATTTGAACCACCAACCTTTCAGTCAGCAAGTTCAACAGCTAAGCAGTTTAACCCACTGCTTCACCGATTAAAACCAATTAAATACATAAAAACACTACACAGCATACACTGGATCAGTCTTAAACACAAATGTAATCAATTGAACCTCATTTGTAACAGGCTTAATGTCTTCTTACATGTATTTCATAGAATGTCCTGTTATAGCCACTTTTTGAATCTATATATTATTTTTTCAGCAATATAAGATTTACTAGATTCTTGTGGGTTTTTTCGGGCTATAGGGCCATGTTCTAGAGGCATTTCTCCTGACGTTTCGCCTGCATCTATGGCAAGCATCCTCAGAGGTAGTGAGGTCTGTTGGAATTAGGACAATGGGTTTATATATCTGTGGAATGACTGGGGTGGGGCAAAGAGCTCTCCCTGCTGGAGCTAGGTGTGAATGTTTCAACTAACCACCTTCATTAGCATTTGAAGGCCTGGCTGAGCCTGGGAAAATCTTTTGTTGAGAGGTGTTAAGATGTGCCTGGTTGTTTCCTCTCTGCTGTTTTGCTGTTGTAATTTTAGATTTTTTAATGCTGGTAGCCAGATTTTGTTCATTAGATGCAGGCGAAACGTCAGGAGAAATGCCTCTAGAACATGACCCTATAGCCTGAAAAAACCCACAAGAACCTAGTGATTCCAGCCATGAAGGCCTTCGACAATACAATATAAGATTTATTATACAATTAATAAAGAAAATAATTTCCCCTCTTTGAATTGTATCTAGTTTTATATTGTTGTAGTCTCCATGTTAGCTGATTAGGCTTTTTCATGATTTCAAAGCTTCTGAGTTTTTTTTAATGTATCCATGTTGTTTTTTCATCCTCCATTTCAGCAGAAAACGCAGCAAACGACAGGAAAGAACATCAGATACAGAGAGAAAGGGATAAGCATCCAGGCATGCAAAATAATATGTGGACTCAAGAGAAAATAAAGAAACAGAAAGGACGCCAACAAATTAAGAGCAAGAATAAGTCCAGACTTTCTCTGGATGTAGACACCTCTGAAAATAAAATCCACGAAAAAATGCAAAAAGGAGACAAAAGGAAGGAGTGCCCCGTATGTGGGAAACGGTTTGCTCACAGATCAATCCTTGAGAATCATTTGAAAACCCACACTGGGGAGAAACCCTTTAAATGCCTGGAGTGCGGGAAGAGCTTCACTCAGAGTGGAAAGCTTACCAGGCACCAAGTGATCCACACTGGGGAGAAGCCATTTAAATGCCTGCGCTGTGGAAAGAGCTTCCTGAGAAGGGACACGCTCAATTCGCATCAAAGGACACACAGTGGGGAGAAACCCTTTACGTGCCTGGAGTGCGGAAAGAGTTTCACTGAGAATGGGAAGCTTACCGTACACCGGAGGACTCACACAGGGGAAAGGCCCTATCAATGCCTGCAGTGCAGAAAGAGCTTCATCGATAGCGGGACGCTTACCAAACATCAAAGGATTCACACGGGGGAGAAGCCTTTTACATGCCTGGAGTGTGGAAAGACATTCAGCCAAAGGGAAGGCTTTACCACCCATCAGACTATCCACACTGGGGAAAAACCATTTAAATGCTTGGAGTGTGGGAAGAGCTTCCGTTTGAATGGAAGCCTTACTTCTCATCAAAGAATTCACACCGGAGAGAGGCCCTTTAAATGCCTGCAGTGTGGAAAGAGCTTTACTCAGAGTGGAACTCTTACTATCCATCAAAGAATCCACACTGGAGATACCCCTTTTGAGTGCCAGGAGTGTGGACAGACCTTCAAGCACAGAGAGAAGCTGGTTTCGCACCAGAACGTTCATGTGAATGCTGCGGAGAAACCATATAACACAACAATGGATGGGACAAAACCTTTTAAATGCCTAGAGTGTGAAAAGAGCTTCCAGCAATGGAATCAGTTCTACTCCCATCAGAGGATTCACACTGGGGAGAAACCGTATGTGTGTCGGGAGTGTGGAAAGGGTTTCCGGAAGAATGAGTTCCTGACCGTACATCAAAAAATTCACACAGGGGAGAAACCTTTCAAATGTCTTGAGTGTGGGAAAGATTTCCGGCAGAAGTCTCACTACAACTCCCACCAAAGGACTCACACTGGGGAAAAACCATTTACCTGTCCAGAGTGTGGGAAGAGCTTCCTGGAAGAAAAATCCTTGGTTTCGCACCAACGCAGTCACAAGACAGAGAAACCATTTAAATGCCTGGAGTGCGGGAAGAGCTTCAGCGATATCGGAGCGCTGAGCAAACATCACAGAATTCATACTGGCGAGAAACCCTTTAAATGTCCAGATTGTGGGAGAAGCTTCAGGTGGAGGAATAAGTTCCTTTCACATCAGAGGGTTCACACAGGAGAGAAGCCGTTCAAGTGTCCGCAGTGTGGAAAGAACTTCCGGAGGAAGGATAAACTTAACATCCATCAGAGAATTCACACTGGAGAGAAGCCATTTAAATGCCTGGAGTGCGGAAAGGGCTTCAAGCAGAGTGGAACACTTATATCCCATCAAAAAATTCACGTAACATAGAAAATAATTTAAGTGGATTTAACTACCACATTTTAGGAATCTCATAAAGTGACACAATTTACTGGAATAGATTATACAACTCAGAATGAAGATAGTAGGAAGAGACAAAGGCTGTATTACAGGTGGATTGATTCGATCAAGGAAGTCATGGGCTCGAATTTAACAGAGATGAGTAAGACTGTTATTTATTTATGTACAGTATTTATATTCTGCCCTTCTCACCCTGAAGGGGACTCGGGGCAGATCACAGAACACATATCTGGCAAAAATTCAATGCCGTTACACACAGACAAGGCAAACAATTGTACGTAAATAGAGGTACAATAGACTCTCGCTTATCCAACCTTCGCTCACCCAACATTCTGTATTATCCAACACAGTCTGCCTCCCATCCGGATCCACAGCTGTTTCAATACATTGCGATGTTTTGGTGCTAAATTTGTAAATGCAATAATTACTACATGATGTTACTGTGTATTGAACTGCTTTTCTGTAAGTTTGTTTTAAAACATAATGTTTTGGGGCTTAATTTGTAAAATCATAACATAATTTGACATTTAATAGGCTTTTCCTTGATACCTCCTTACTATTCAACATTTTCACTTATCCAGCATTCTGCTGGCCCGTTAATGTTGGATAAGTGAGACTCTACTGTATGTATGTGTGTATGTATGTATGTGTGTGTGTGTGTGTATATATATATCTTTTCTCCATGTACTTTCTTAGGTTTCAGAGATACAATTAAAAACTTTACTTCTTTGCTGAGACTGCTTCCCACTCAGGTAAAGTAAAGAAGTCTTTGTCTTTATCCAGCCCTGCCACTTCCAATGACTGCGCGCGCACACACACACACACACAGGCTTTCCCGTCTTCGGCATCTTGGAGGCTGTGCTCGGTTCCAGCCATGAGGGATGCTGTTGCTCCATCTTCCCCGCCAAAGAACTTTGTTCATAAACTTCTTCCTTTTGATCAAATCAAAAGGCATTTTTTCTGGCATTTCCTTATGGGTAATTAATAATAATAACAACAACAACAACAGCAGCACTTTATTTATATTCCACCCTGTCTCCCCAAGGGGACTCAGGGCAAATTACAGTACACATACATGGCAAACATTCAATGCTGTTTTGGATAGACAGGACAGAGAGACAGGAGGTATGTTGTGTCAACGTCCAGCTTTTTGGCGCCTTGGAGGTTGTGCTCAAATCCAGCCACTGGGGTGATGTTATTCCATCCTCTATGATGAAGAGCCATCAGGACTTCCCCCTTCCTTTTGATCGCTGGACATTTTTCTGATCTTTTTCTTTTTATGGTGTCATAAAATACTTCCTCCGCTTTTTAGCGGTACCTAATTTCTCTACTAACAGCTCTAAGCTGTTCTTGAACTGCTTAGGTAAACAGTGAGCTGGGCTGACAGTCGGGTGCTCACCCTGACCTGAGCTTCAAACTGGCAACTTTTTGGTTGATAGATCTTATTGCTGCTGGTGATCCACCAGCTCTGCTAAAGTTTGGGTGCCTTAAAGACCTCCCCACTTTAAAGTGGTACCTATTTATCTACTCACATTTGCTTTTGAACTGCTAGGCAGGCAGAAGCTGGGCTAAAGGCCAAGAGCTCACCCTGACCTGGGCTTAAAACTGTCAATCTTTTGGTTGGCAAGATTTACTGCAGATGACAGTTAATCTGCTGTGCTAAAGCCTGGCTTCTTCCCAAGACTGCCATACATCAAAACCAATTTACTGTATATACTCAAGTATAAGTCCAGATATTTAGTCAAGAAATCGATCCCAGAAAATTGTATTGGCTCATCCACGGATCAGTGTGACTCCTATACGTTAACTTCTACCAAAAAAGTAACCATTCCCTTCTCTGGGAAAAGTAGCAAAAGGCAAGACCATATTCCATCCCAGGAGAACCTAAATGAAGCACAAACTCTCTCTACTATCATCAATAGGGTGCCTCATTTGGCTTATTTAAATGTCTAGAAGGGAAAATGGGGGGGATGATGACTGCCCCCCTGAGTTGGCATTAGGACTTCCCCAAAGACCATGTCAAAATCCATAATTTTGGCTGCAAAACCAGTCCTCAACTTGTACACAAGTATACTGTATATGGCAATGTCATATAAAGGCAACAACTTGAAACCCACTGGGATTTTGGCCTGCATAAATAGGAGTATAGTTTCTAGATCCAGGGAAGTCATGCTAGCCCTCTATTCTGCCTTGGTCAGACCACTTCTGGAATACTTCTGTACAATTCTGGGCACCGCAATTGAGAGGAGAAGTTGACAAGCTGGAATGTGTCCAGAGAAGGGCGACTCAAATGATCAAGGCTCTGGAGAACAAGCCCTATGACGCATGTCTTAATGAGATGGGTATGTTTAGCCTGCAGAAAGCTGATTGGAGTCATGGTGGCCATGTAAAAATATATGAGGGGAAGCGGGAGCAAGCAAGCTTGTTTTCTACTGCCCTGGAGACTAGGAAGCGGAACAATGCCTTCAAACTACAGAAAAGGATATTCCACCTGAACACTAGGAAGAACTTCCTAAATGTGAGAGCTGTTCAGCAGTGGAACTCTCTGC